GTCGGGTCTCGAACCCGCAGGCTCAGGCCATCCACTCACCTCAGCCTCCCAAGGCGCGGGATTACAGGCTGAGCCACTGAGCCCGGCTATTATTATTTTTTTGAGTTTAAGTCTTACTCCATCACCCAGGCTGGAGTGCAGTGGCACACTCACGGTCACCCCAGCGTTGACCTGCTGGGTGTCAGCGATCCGCCTCAGCCTTCCGAGTAGCCAGAACTACAGGCGTGTGCTACCACACCCGACTAGTTTCTTTATTTACTGTAGAGACGAGGTCTCAGCAAGTTGCCCAGGCTGGTCTCAAACCCGCGGGCTCAAGCAGTTCACTCGCCTCAGCCTCCCAAAGTGCTGAGATTACCGGCTGAGCCACGGAGCCCGGCCTAAATACAGTCTTTTAAACGTTCAAACTGGAGTGGGAAGATGGAGAAGGCCTTTGGTTGTATTCTGGTATTTATTGTTCACCTACTTCCAGAGACATCTATTCAAAGACCTCTTTTGTGGCACCTTTGCTGGCTCCACAGAAACTGGGAGTGGGAGGGAGGGGTGGGGTGTTGCGTTCCACTCACATTTTTCACACAGTCTTCCAATGGCTACAAAAATCAAAGACAATAAAAATTACAAACAGAATAAAGACTGACGAAGAAAGGAAGTACATCCTCGAGGTATACATCCTCGACCTAGGGGCAGCGACATAGGCAAAGATTGTAATGAGACCTGCGTGATGGCCAGGCTATCCCTATAAACTTCCACCTGAAGCAAACCCACAGCCCCGAACATCCTCCTGAATTCCGTCCCAGGGCCTCGGCAATCTGAGACAAGAGTTTCTCCATTCTGACCCAGACTCCAGTCTCGCCGCCTGCCTCCGGTACCCAGTACACACGCGCTCCTAAAACACCCGACGACTGTGAGGCGGGAAACGCTGTGCTTCTGATCTAAGATCCTAAGGAAGACAAGGAAACCTCGGATTCCCCAGCTTCTAATGTAATTCCCACCCACAAAGCCGAGAGCAGAGCGCCACCTCACCAACACCAGCCTGCTTGCGGCAAAAAATCAAGTCCGGGTGATGTTTAGCCATAACTCCCCAAGTCGGCCACCGGAAGCTCCGGGAACTTCCGTTCGACCTTTAACCCCACTGTTCCTGCCTCCACATCGCCGTGATTGGTCCTTTAGGCTTCCAACCGTTGTGTCAGGCCCCGCTCGCTCTCGCGCGAGTTTCTGTCTGCTGGGGAGTCAGGTCCTGCAGGCGTATGAAATTATTGAAAAAAAAAAAACCAAACCTCTCTCAGATTTGGATGGCAGAGATAACTGAAATTTGCTCTTGGATAAAACATCTTTATGCCCAGTATTTACTTCTGCAAGTGTTTTTATGCAACTCTTTGTCTTCTCACGCGTCCTTTTCTTACACGTGAGCTCTACCCACTGCGTTCTCGGGGTTTCTGGCGCCTCTAGGGAGGCCTCGCCTTCACGGTGACGCTCTGTCTTCAGGCCACGCCCCTACCCAACGGCTTTAAAGGCACCTTGTGGCACGTCACTTTCACGCGACCTCATCTTTGTCAGTGCACAAAATGGCGCCTTACAGCCTACTGGTGACCCGGCTGCAGGTGAGCGAGCTTAGGGCCCCTGGGTTCACGGGGGCGGGGTGCCTCTTACTGTGCCTACGGCTGTAAGCGAGGCAAGGCAAGTCGGGCCGACCTCAGGCCAACTGTTCGTGTACCTGTCCCGGTTGCGGGCCCAGCACCAGTGCCCGCTCCTCTGGTGCCCTAGGTCAAGACGTCCCTGGCACAATCAGGTTTCCCTGCACTGTCCCCGCCCCACAAGAAGCATGGGCTCAAGCAGCGGCGCCCAAGTGAAGAGTGGAGGCACCTCTGTCCTTTTTGAGAACAGCATTTCCCGCTCCCGTAGGGTGTCTTTCAGTTCCTCAAGGTGAGGACAAGGTGACTGGGGGGGCGCGGTCGTTGTTGAGCCTTCTAGGCCCAATGCCTGAAGGCCTCACTTCCCATCTTAGCAACAGAGACTTTCGAGCCAGGTGCATCCACGGTTGCCAAGCCTGGAGTGTGTAGAGGATAGTATCTAATACCACCTTTTGAGGACCCTGCGGAACATAGATCCAAGAATGCCAAGGCCCCTACGTAGTAAATAATAATGATAATGGTCTCTCACCTTTGCACAAGATTTCAGGACTGTTTTAACTCCTCATAATATCATTTGACTTATATAATCATAAGAGCGTGATGAGTTTTCTTATTTGATAGGTGATAAACTTGATAGAAAGTAGGTGGAAGTTTTGGTTCTCAGAGTGTCACGGAAGTACTGTGATCAGAGCATTGGCCCTGTCATCCATCTGTTCTCTTTGTTCATGCCAGCCTGCCCTCACAGATCTTTCTGAGCCGGGGGTGATCATTTGTATTTTATGAGAGTACAGAATAGAGTATTTGAACTTAACATGTTGTTTTTCAAATATGTGCTTGATGGGAGGATAAGGAGACTCAACAGTCTGACCTTGACTCTCCTGTTAGGAGCTATCCAGAAAACTAACTGGGATTGCCAGATGGTTTTTCACTTCTAACTTGACAATCCTAGAAAGGTGTTATACTCAAAGGTTCAATGTCAATTTTTTGTTTTTTGAGTTGGAGTCTCACTCTGTCACCCAGACTGGAGTGCAGTGGCCGCTGCCGACCACTGCAGACTCTACCCTCTGGTCTCCGGCGATCCTTCCGCCTAAGCCTTCCGAGTAGCCGGAATTTCAGGCACGCGCTACCATGCCCGGCTGATTTTTTGATTTATTGTAGAGATGAGGTCTCGCCAAGTTGCCCAGGCAGATCTCAAACCTGCGGGCTCAGGCAATCCATTCACCTCAGCCTCCCAAGGCGCGGGATTACAGGCTGAGCCACCGAGCCTCAAATGTTTGTTAATAAAAATAAAGTAAATGTCTGTAGATGCTCTCTGTCATCCTTTTACAAGTTAACTTTGTGAATCTTTGGATCAATGGCACACCTTTGGATTATAGAATTTAAAAAGCTAATGTGTGTTGTACTCTCAGGAAGCATTGTGCTACTTGAAGTTATTTTTCATCACATTGCTTAAGTTTAAACAATATGGTTTAAAATAAAATCATACTTTACCTGAAAATACTTCTGATTCAATTCTGGGCAACAGCAGGGCACTTACACTTAATTATATTTTCAAAGCCTTTTGATTATCTGGGCTAATGATGTGGAAACAGTTGTTTATTCCTGATTCTCTTGCCCTGTGATTTAATGGAGATTAAGATTATTTGATAAGTGTTTATACATTTATTGAACTTCCAGCAAAATAACAGTATCCTAACGTTTTTTTTTGTTTTTGTTTTTTTTTTGAGTTGGAGTCTCACTCTGTCATCCAGAGTCATTTTTTGATTTATTGTAGAGATGAGGTCTCACCAAGTTGCCCAGGCGGGTCTCGAACCCACGGGCTCAGGCAATCCACTCACCTCAGCCTCCCAAAGGCATGGGATTACAGGCTGAGCCATCGAGCCCGGCATCCTAACGTTTTTGAACTGGAAAAGATTTTGGAAAGTATGAGTGTTACACTTGTGTAGAAAGAGATCTGGGCTATAGTTCATGCTCTATCCTGATCCTGTGACCTTGAGCAGGCTACTTCCTGAATCTGTCATCTATCAGCTGGGGATGATATTCACTGAACAAATGTGTATTGAATACTTGGATTGTTGTAAAGTGATGAGCAAGCAGAATGTGTTTACTACCATCATGTAGTCAACCTCGTCTTTTACAGATGGAGAATCCAAGATCTTGGAGAGCCTGACTGACTTTCAGTGGCAGAGTCAGGATTAAAATCCAGGTCTTCTTGTCTGTTAAGCTAAGGTGAATGAACAAGTATTATGCACTTTGCATAGTATTACACTGCCTTCCAATATTCAGACTCTCTCAATTAATGACCAGCTAGCACCATCTTCTGAGAACTTACAAATTTATCTCTTTTGTGCATAGATAACATTTGAGAAGTGATAGTTACCACCTTAATAGTCATATATATAAAACTCTATCCACGTAGTCAGTTTTTTTCTACTTCACTCACCGTATATTTACTGAGCACCCACTGCTTCCTTCCAGATACATTGATAAGCTCCCCTTTCTCATGGAGCTTCCACTATAGAGGGTGCCAAAAAAAATGTATAAACATTTAAGAAAGGAAAAACTGTATTAAAATTGTAATGCTCAATATATATCAATAACAAAAGATGAATACAAGTTCCATTTGACTTCCGCAATTCCAAGAGGTGCTCAAAGTGGTTACCATCACCGTCCAGACACTTCTGATTACGGCAAACTAAAAGTAATATATAAATAACATCTCTTAAAATGTGTATACATTTTTTTGGCACTTGGTATATTCTAATGTACCCTCCTACTGAAGACCTTGGTGATCTTTCTCAGCCAAAATGCAGTATTTTTTTCCTGTCTTTGACTAGACCAGAGGTAAAAGTAGATAATAGAGTGGTGGGTGTTACTACTATTGCTAAGAGTAGCTAATAGTTATCTTTCTGTGTGCCAGTTCTCTCACATGACTCTATGAGATAAGGCAGAACTATTAGCCCTGCTTTACAGATTAAGAAACAGGACTAGAGAGGAAACATAGTGTGGTGGTTGAGAGCATGGACTCTGACATAAGACTATGGGTTTGAATCCTGGCTCTAATACTCAATAGTTGTGACTTTACTCAACCTCTCTGGGCCTGTTTCCTCATCTTAAGATATGGTAATAATAGTACATCTGTTTTAATCACATAATAGTTGCAAAGTATTTAAAACTCTGCTGCTAGCTAGTAAATGCTATATAGTTGTTAAATAAGATAAATTTGCCTAGAGCCTTATCACTAGTTGTTAGCAGATGTGATTTGAATCTGCACATTTCTGATTCTAAAGCTTGAGAGCTTAGCAACTGACACTATACTGCTTCCTTTGGGATCAAACTCAGCTTGTGGATAAGGGCACAACTGATACTCCATAACCCGAGAACAGTGCTAAGTTGAAAGTGTGCTATTCTTTGACAGTACTTGCTACCAAATAGTAGGATTAGAAGCAGACAAGAAAATGGGAGGTGAGATTTTTTGAAAGGCCATATTTACTCTCTGGTTTTTAATATTTATTTTTGTGCATATGACTATGGATGGTACATAAGAGGGTTGTTGGGCACTTACAAATACGTTTATCAGATCTTTGGTTTGACCTTGAAATACTGAAGTAAAGTCTCATATGACTTTGGGGAAGTTGTGCAACCTCTTGCATTTACTTTATTTTTTTTTTTTAAGTCAGAGTCTCACTGTTGCCTAGGCTGGAGTGCAGTGGCGCTCTCACCACCACCGCAGCCTCAACCTGCTGGGCTCAGGTGATCCTTCTACCTCAGCCTTTCAAGTAGCAGCACCACAGGCATGCACCACCACACCTGGCTAATTTTTTGATTTATTGTAGAGATGAGGTCTCGCCAAGTTGCCCAGGCTGGTCTTGAACCCTGGTTTCAGGCAATCCTCTTGCCTCAGCCTCCTAAAATGTTGGGATTACTGCACCCAGCACCTCTTGCATTTAAATCTGTGATGGCAGTTAACTACAAAGAAATCTGACATATTTGACAGAAATTCTCTGTGCTATACTAAAAATTCTTGGTTTGAATTGTGAATCAGGTTATTCTGGTTGTGTGTTCTCGGTAATAAACTTCCTGGGTGTCAGCTGATGATCTGAATTGAGTAAATAAATGAGTGAATTGGTAAACAAACTTTCTTTCTTTCTTTTTTTTTTTAAGTTGGAGTCTCATTCTATCGCCCCTGCTGGAGTGCAGTGGCATGCTCATGGTCACCATAGCCTTGACCTGCTGGGCTCAGGTGATCCTTCTGCCTCAGCCTTCCAAGTAGCTGTAACTACAGGCACGTGCTGTCACACCCAGCTAGTTTTTTGATTTATTGTAGAGATGAGGTCTCGCCAAGTTGCCCAGGCTGGTCTCGAACCCGTGGGCTCAGGCAGTCCTCTCACCTTGGCCTCCCAAAGGTCTGGGATTATAGGCATGAGCCACCACATCCAGCCAGTAAACAAACTTTCAATCTCAAATATGGAAGAGGGAATACAGACACCATCCTGAGGACTAGGGATTAGG